CGCGAGCACAATCGGTTCATAGCTGCAGCACCGAAAAACCAGGTCGCATGGAGGCAGCTGTTTTGTACCGATCGTTGTGTTGTTCACTGGTTGCTCGAACGCGTTGGTATTGATCAGAGTAGGCGAGCGGGCGAAGTATACAAAACACATCATTTGTACCATACCGATTAGGCGCAGAGAAAGAAAGAACCGTTTTCAGTTTCAACCGCCATTTAAGCCCCCGTCGGTACGCTCACCCCCGCTCAATTCAACCCCCCACACAAGCCACCCAAGCCCGGCGCTCGTTGGCGTCATTTGTGACGTCATTGGGGTCCAACTCCGGAGCCGGAGCTCCCTGATCCCGTGAAAGTTTGCCTTCCGTGTCGTCATCTGCGCTTAGATATTCGTTTGTAGCAAAAAACTGCAACCATCTTTCTCATATGGTCAGCACGGAAGGCCACAGGCCCATACCCGCGTAGGTTTGTGATGCCTTGCAAACGGCATCACTACTTGTTCTGATGCGCTGTTCCCATGAAGCTGAGCACAATGAAACGAGTTTTTACCTCTGAAATAATAATTATGCCAATTAGTCTGTCATTTATTAAGTGGCAAGCACAAAACAATATGTGCTTAAATGCACTACTTTTTTCATAAAAAAAAACAAAAACAAAGGAGCAGTTGGGTGAGCTTGGTACCTCTCAACTTTTACTCTATCCTTGGAGCTGCTTGCACACTCACATCGATTTGAATGTTCCTACTAGGCATTTCTGCTGCACCCACACATCTGTAAACTGGATGCACTGGTTGTCTCCCGCAGTTCAGTTCATGTTCAGAACTAGTTTAATCATCTTGACACATTTCTTGTTCACATTTTTCATGATAGCCTGACATTTTTTTTGTTTTGCAACAGTGTGTTTGCACATGGCGGTAGTTATTTCTAATTTTTGAACTTATTTTTGAACATTTAATGAACTTATTGCACACAAGCAGCCAAGAACTTTATAGCTGTTGGTATACAGTAGTGGATGTAAAAAAATAAATACTCTTGGGAATATGGAGCTTCTGGTTTTGGTAGCACACTTGCAAGCAGCATCATGTTGCAGCGAGAAGGAATAAGCCAACTAGTGGGCACGGTTTTTTGTTTGGGCTAGTTGGTTCTTACTAGGGAGCCTTCATGTGCGCTTTGCTAGGGTGATGCCACCCTTTGTAATACCACTCGCCGACAAACCAGTAGCCATTTTGTTCCTCGGCGATAATCCGTGGGGCTTATAACCCTCCCGGAAAGAAGCACCTTATCTCAGAAGTTCGGAGCAGCGTTGTGGAACCCACGGAGGGAGGATTAGCATTTTCGCCCTCGGATGGGATTACCGATGGACACAAAGGCCACTTTCCGGTGCACGGGGAAACAATGAGAGAAACAAGATGGCGGTGGAAGAGGGTGTGGGAAAGGGAAACAGGCAGTTGGCATCACTCTATGCGAAGCGCACATGAAGGCACTCTAGTTCTTACTAGACATGATTGTTGTACTTGTGCCTTCTTTGTTGTCCTTGTCAAGTTTGCGCTATTTTAATCATGTCTAGTAAGAACCAACTAGCCCAAACAAAAGTCGTGTTACGGTTTCTTGGGGTTGTGAGAATGGATTCGCGTCTCCACTGATCCCAGTAGAAAAGTTGGCGATGTATTGATGATGCTGCTAAAACTTGCTTTTAATAAAATATTATTGATAACTAAAGGCCTCCGGTGCACTTGTGCCCGTGTCCAAACGACAAGATTGATATGAGTTGAAGTCGAGCAGATAATTGCGCAGCTTCCTAACTCTGTTCAATCTATCCTGGCTTGCATCACGAAACTACCACATACTTTCTAATTGGGAAATAGTCTTGTTGTCCAGTAACACACCATAATTGCACTTCTCCAATGAAATGACGTGTTTTCTCTTGTATGTGGCGACATAACATTTAAAATAAAATGAATACACTTCACATTCTTTCAGCGTCAACATCGTTTAAATTAGGGCTGGGCGTCGATTAAAATTTTTAACCCGATTAATCGCCAACTTTTAATCGATTAATCTGTCTCGTTCATTCTCATGCATAAAAGCTTAAAAAAATAGTCCAAATTATATTTTTTGCTGAATGTGTGATAAACGGCGCAATGTACAATTTCAGATTTTCAATCAACCTTGATGTGCAGTTGGAAACAGTCAAAGAACGCCCACACCCAGGGGCATAGCCAAGGGAAGGGGGGGGGGGGGGGGGACTTACGGGGCTTTAGCCCCCCCCCCCCCCCCCCCCCCCCCCCCCCCCCCCCGGTCGCGTCGGCTCGGCCGGGCCGCCTGAACAGGCGGCGCATTCAATTTCACAGATTTTCTTTTGTTTAATGCCCAATTTTATAGGTATTTGAACTGAGACGGTTAAGTGTAGCCGGTGCAGATAAACTTGCAAAGCATAGTTTTGTTTTGCCGGAGTTTTTCGTTCTTTTCATGTCAAACTTTCGTTTCGGAGATTTCGCTCAAAACCGAAACTATGGGCTCCGGAGAGACGGCAATATACTAGTCAGTTTTGATCATCTAAGGAAAGTGGCGATGGCTACAGAATTGTTCCACAGAGAGTAACTTTTCAGCTAACTCGCTTGCCTCGATCATGCGACTTATCCGTCCGCGAAATCGAGCTTTTGCGCGTATCCGCGTTTAAGAAACAGCTCCAGTCGTCTGCTCGGTCAACAACACAGCCTGCAGGAAAATGACGAAAATTAAGCAAGCGCTTCTTGAGCCAAGGACCATCTTAACCCGCCGGCGCCCCACTAAGCAGCTGATACTCGTATTTTAATTCAGGTTTTAGTAGCAATCGAGAAGTCATTTTGACGAGGGTGTTATGTATTATATTACGTACTATGGGGGGGGGGGGTCCCACTAAAGCGATATTAGTATATTCTTCGGGTTGAAATATGAGCTTAGTTGACTAGCTATTAGGTGAGCTGCTGAATAAAAGTATATTTGACAGACAGAGAGATACTACTTAAACTTAGCCAAATGGCTCTATAGCCGGCAGCACGGGGACAAACTGAAGAGTCTTCATCGAAGATTCACACAGAACCTTTCTGCATTGAACTTTGCTTCGAATCCTGAACGGAGAAAATGAGTATTTTTTTTTTTGGCCGGTCAACCTGGCCAATGTAGACATATATTGTTGCTGGCTTCGACGTCCTCGTAATATAAATGGAGGCGCGATAGGTCAAAATGCCGTGACAGCGTCTAGACTCGTCCCCCACCTTTTGAAAACAGATAATTTCCCTCATTCATTATTTGCAGCGAGCAGGTTTTCCTGAATCAAGTAATTGCGAAATCAGCCCAACTCCTTCGGTGTGGTCCAGAGGCTTTTTCGGCAAAAAGCAGCCAAGATGAACAGCCAACGCTATTCATCTTGGCCATTATCCTATTATTTCTAAAAATAAGCTAGTAGTAAGTAAAAAACTAGAGATCCCTGAAAGCGTAAATTGATAACTCTTCCGCTACTTCCTCGGTACGCCCATTTCTTTGGTGAATAGCCGACGCACCGACCGGCATGGGTGGCTCAAACTTGAAGCTAACCGAACACAACCAAACTCAAGAAAAGCAGCTATCGAACCTTCCCATTCAATTTACTGCAACATTGATGTTCCCTCCAGTGAAATGCCTCGTCTGTCGTCCTCAGTCCACTGTCCTACATCCTTATAAAGAAACCACTTATCAGTTACCAAGTAGTTGTAACTTTGAATGTGATTCGAGACAGACAAGAAATCAAAACGTTTTTCTGTGATTCCTCCCCATCCACGAAATCGAAAGCACGCGACCGTGTGTTGTCGAGTAAACGGGCTTTCAAACACGTAATAGAAGAAAACAATCTACTGAGGCTTCACCACACTAATTATCACTCAGGCAAACTTAAGAAATATTCAAACATTCGTCGAATTACATTGTTCGCCACCGCGCCGACAACACGTCTCCGCGAAAGCCACCAGAGACGCGGAGGGGCGCGGAGCTGGCGGAGCGACCTGGACCGGCTGGTTCCCGGTTTTCCCGCTTGGTGGCGTCCGTTTTGCTGGAGTCGCGAATAATATACACATACATTTTGAACCCCCCTCCTCCTTTCCACACCCCAAGTCATAGACATCCCAGCCACCTCAAACCCCCTCCCCCTCAAAAAAAAAAAAAAAAAAAAAAAAAAAGTCCAGGCAATGCCACTGCCCACACCCACAAATTATTACTTCAGTCTCGGAGGCAAAGAGGTTCACTGATATTCTTCGGTAATAGTCAACGCCTCTGATTGTTCACAATAGTTTCTGTTGCGTTAAACAGACACTTTGGTGGCGTTGAAGTGGCTGGGACAAGTAGAGCTTTCTCCACTTATTGGAGTTTTCTACAAATCTTGCCCCTTCGGTTTACTTTAGGTCAAAATTTTTCCTAAAATTTGCCTCCATACAGGTGTACTCGCCCACATCTGTTTGATGAAAGCGTTGAAGTTTTCCTTTTTTGTGTTTGTCAAGCTTGAACCAATTACTAACCGGATTAAAATATTAAGGTGGGCTAGTTGGATATGCATTTTCGAAATAAATAGCGCGAAGGTCAAGAACAGACTGACGGTACAAGCGACAATAGTGCTTGTACCGTCAGTTTGTTCTTGACCTTCGCGCTATTTATTTCGAAAATACTAACCGGATAAAAAAGTTAATCGTGATTAAAGCATTAATTGATTAATTGGTAGGTTAATCGATCAAGTGCCGACCCCTAGTCTTAATTGTAAGTCAGTGTCGCGTCTGTGTTACTGCTTCGTCAGGCCCTTTGTCTTTTGCGCTTTTTTTAATCCTGAACTAATCTTAATGCCCCTTTAAGTTGGAACACATGGCTTGTATAATGAGTAACCCATGCTGTGCATTAAGGCAGGTTGAGTAATCCATAAACTCAAAAGGGGAATCACTGCCTAATAATATGACGGTGTTGTTTGCTGGAGTGCCGTGCAAAAGGTGGAATGAAGCAAGACAATGCTGTTTCACATCCACTTATAATTGCATTGCCCATGCAAAGATGCCCCCGTGACTGAAGACTTTTTGAGGACAGATGCAGCCCTCACAGGGCCATTTTATTTAAGTGTCTCTCTAGAACTAAAAGTAATATAAAAGAGAAGTTCATACATCAGTTTGTTGGTAAACATAACATTAAGTGGAAAAAAAGTGTTTGCCATAAGAATTATTGAATAAAATGTTATATTGGTGAGAAAAAAAATAATTAAAACAATCATCACACAACCAATGATGCCCATTGTTTTAAAATAAACTACAAATGACATCAATGCTGGTGTAATCATTTTTGGTCCTTGCCTTTGTAGGCCATAGTTTACCGGCATAATCTGCTACACTTTTGAATGGTATGGCTTCTCATCTGTTAAGGAATGGCACATTTGATGGCACGAGCTTGTGTACCCTGGATGCTTGCCATCAGCGGGTTCTCAATGGCAAACTATGCGCTCAGTGTATCGAGTCGACTCAGACTGTGACAACCTCAGAAAGGATGCATGCCGTCTGGTTGCAGGGTCTGCCGCAAGTGGTACGCCCTGTCTCGGGACCGCACACTTCATCGTCGCGTGGACCTATCCCATGTGGAGCTGACGCCCAAGCAGCTCAAGCTGCTCCTCCAGATGCGTGCCATGCCCCCCGCTGTGGAAGAACTGCGTGTCTTTGGCGACCACCACTGCCTGTGGGCGTGTAGCGTGTCCCCTCGGGCACTGGGCAGGATCCAGCGTCGCTGCCCGAGGCTCCGTCGCCTCCACATCCACAACTTCAGCTTTCGCTCCTCGTCACGGGACAAGTGTGTTCGGCTCACAGACTTTCCGGACACCCTGGAACACCTCTCCCTCCGCGGTTCCATTGTGGGGCGGTCGTCTTTCTTCAAGGCCAGCCGCCAAGGCCAGTGCCTCTCGAAGCTCCAGATCCTCGATCTCGGCCGCTGTTTCTTTGTGGCCGACGCAGAAGCCAAGCCCTGGCCCTGGCTTCCTAATCTCTCGGAACTGTACCTGGAGGGCTGCCCATTCCTGGACAGTGCCGGTTACTTCCAGGACATGCTCCGCAAGCTCTCGCGGCTCACCCTGCTTGACGTAGAGGGCACCTACGTCGCCGAGAATGCGCTGGAAACGGTGGCATCTTACTGCCCCACGTTGGAGCATCTGTTTGTTGGCTGCACAGCAACCAAGGACAGTTCAGTTGCGGCCATGGGCAACTCTGGAGGGATGTCACGACTGCGGTCTGTCTGCCTGGTGCAGACGCAGGTCACGGATGCTGGATTGTTGCAGCTTGTGCGAGTCGCGCCCGAACTGAAGGTGGTCATGCTAGAGACAGACCAGGGGGTGTCGGATGAAGGCATTGCGGAGTTCTGTGACCGACTGCCCGGGGTGGCAGTGGAGATACGAGAGTGCATCGGGTTGGTGTCGGCTGTGTTCAGGCACGAGGGCTGTGGCCACTACGAGCTGCGCTTTGTGGATGCCGAGGGCTCCTGAGGGCTCTTTATTGTTAATGCCTCTCTTGCTTTTTTCAGTGAGTGTGGGGTCTTTTTAAAACTCTGCTTCATGCTCTGTTTTCAGGCTTGAGCAGAGTAAGGCTTTTGTAAACGCAAATTACTAACAGACGTGGAAGATGGAAAACATTGTGTAAAGCAAATACTGTCGGTGTTTAAAAATATAGACTAGTTTTTTCTAATGGTCGCAGACAGCTTTCTCGGGTATTTATACACAAAGCATTTTGATAAGACAATTCAGAGGTGAAGATTAATTAAGGACTGGGAAAATGGGAAATATGGGATTATTTTAGTTGAAAGAATTGAATCCTTTGTGGTCAAGAGTTAAAAAAATATGGTGCTTGTCTGGACTGTTACAATTAAAATGAACATAGTAGGACAATGCTTTGGAGTCTCTGTAACTATGTTTTTCATTGGAAAAAATGACCTGCACACACTTACAAAAAAAAAAAAAATATCACCTGGTACGCAGTTTAAAAAATGTTCAGGACAATACTGTCGTGCTGGAAGTGGTTGGGAGATGAAGGGGTTGGGGTGCGTGTGGTTATAAGGGGGTGCAGCAATTAAAGAGAAATGTCTGGGGAGACAAAAGACAACCCATCTTTCTCATCCCGGTTCTGATGCCACTGGGGCAATATATTTAAATAAGGTCAGTACCCTTTAAGTAGGGACAAATACAAATGAAGATTTGCGAAATTGTTGAGCATGTGCAGCTAGATACACTAGCTGTGTCTCATCTTTTGTTCGAGTCTTTCATGCATTTTGTCACCAGTCTTTGGTATTAACTGCATCGGGAGATCTGCTTTATTGTTCCTATTAGTTTACTTACCAACACTATTAGACTTTACTAGGGCTCTTCATTTGCCTTGCATCATTTAAACTTGCAGTTGTACTGCCTTGGCATGGTTACATTTCAGAACTAGACAATAATTCCTTGTATCTCAACACTGAATATCTTTAAAAAATTTGTTTTACTATAAATCACTCAGTAGAGGATTATCTTGATTGTTTATTTCACTACATGACAGCTATGCAACATAAATATTGAAGGGGCGTGCTTAGTGTTGCTTGCATTCAAAATGCAGGTTCATTGTTTTTGCATTGACAGTCTCATATGAAATATTGTATCTTTCATAATGCTATATTAACAATATGAGCCCAGTTCATTAGAGATGTCTCCTTATTGTTTTGTCCACACAAGAGATGTTGCTATGGTGCATTAATAATTTACTGGGTGAAATCTAGAGAAGCTGGAGATTTAATCTCATCCACTTGTCCTTGTTAACTTTTGTGAATGCTATAGCACAATGATTATTTAAGTGAGAGAGCAATATTTTTTTATTTTTTTTTCCTGACAAGGCACATTATGGGCAGTTTTCTGGAACTGTTTTCAAAAACTCTTACCTCACCAGACTTCCTTTTATGGATTAGAAGTGGTCTGTCTTTTAGCTTTCACAGTTGACAGAGTTTTTGTCGTATCAACTAAACTGTGATGATCTGTGACCGTGACATTTAACCTTGACATTTAAATATTCTTAATATAAAACATTTCTGAGTAGTGATTTTTTCCTGCTGTATCTTTATGCAAATTATAATTTTGCTTACTGTTGCAATATCATTACCGGTGCTATAGGTGCTTGTAATGATTAGTAGAGAGTGAAAACCCCACAAAAAAAAAATTAAAAGGGAATTTGCAAAATATTTTTAAGCTAAATATTTAGCCTTTCTTTCTGCATTTGACAATGGGAGGAAAATTAAGCTGCTGTTGTGCGAGCTTCGGGGACAAGGTAGCCCGTGATGGGAAGGAAAGTTACATTTTGGAGGAGGTGGGAAGGACCATTCAAGTCCTTGACTTTAGGTTACTTTTTCATCTGGATCAAGAAAAAGAGAAAGTCCCTTTCTCTCTCTTCTCAACTAAAGGTCGACTATTAAGAAAATGTCTTCAAACTTGGCTAAGAAGTCTATTAAAAAAACGTTTCTGTCTAGGTGAAAAAAAAAATAAAAATATTTTGCGGCCACCTTCGGTGTTTTCCGGGAGGTTTAAACACACCTGCCAGTGTTTCTGCAGTGTCTAAGCAACCTGGGATGCTCCTTCCGGAGAGGACATGCACTGCTTTTGCTTCTGCTGTCCAGTTTGCTTCTGTGGCTGCAAAATGTGTGCAGTTTTACAAATGAGAATCTCAAGGCTTAGGTGCGATGAGTGTCAGGCATCTACCATCATGATGCTGATGTGGTACACACGTCATCTGCCCAGGACTGCCTCATAGAAGTTTGCTTTGTCCTGTGGGAAATGTAGGTCGACAGTCATTTTGCCTCACACAAGAACTAGTTTTGTTATAAGCTGCAACTTTTTCCGCTGAAGTGTGACATCTCTGTTGACGAATACTCGACGTGACAAATATATATATATTGTTGTGATCCCAGCCTTGACAGCTTCATACCTGCGTGGTGAAAGTCATTACGTTTGGTGTTTTCCGAATTGAGACCTGGCAGGTAATCCTGTCTTGTTACTTGCGTTTCCTGTAGTGATCACAAACGCAGTTGCCTAAGCTTTCATCGTGTGCTAGCATTGTTACGGTAATATTACTGCCCGAAGCCAAGCGCTTGTACACCATAACTTCAAGCTGTGCATGAAACACGACACCCGGTGGCAGTATATTTCCAGTATGGCCAGTGTCGGTCGTTGCCTTATTCTTGTGTCATCTTTTTACTGCACCTATTTATTGATTTCTTAATAAAGGAAGCTTCTCAAGACGCAATTTATTTATATAAGCAGTTGCTTTTGATAGTATATAAAAGGCGGACCTACGCTTGTACAGTCATGTTTCCGTGTTTGCATACTCCAAGGCTCACCACTTTGTCAATAAAACGTCACCAAGGAGGCTTTTGTGTTTTTGTCTGCGTTTTCCATTCTAGCTCGTTTCCCATGATGCGTGCAGTGATGTGATTGCTGCTCCATTTGCGACAAACTGCGCCCAGAGGGTACCCTGCTACATCCTGCTACATTTAGCCCAGATATGAAGAACTTGCACCAACATTGCGCCAAAAATTAATTTCACTTCATGGAAAGTGAAATTACATTGGCTCAGGCTCCGCTACACGTCCGAATCGTTATGGCAGGCTTGTGCGAAGTTTTATAACTTTCGATTTTAGCTGCAAATAACGTATACTATTTGATCTTTCTATCAGTGTCAGACGCTGACAGTACTCGGAATATTCGGAATATTTGTTATGTTCCAAGTGTGCTCTGGCGGGTAAATTAGCTTTGTTGAGTGCTCTTCTCACCGCTCTCTTGTGTACTGCAGTGAAGCGGTAACCGCGAAGTAAACCTCGTAATTTTGCTTATCTTGCTTCGCCGCAGCGCATCTGAGTGCTAAAGAAAAAACATTCTTCCAGAGCGGGACGTTAAATACCCAAGCATCGGGAAAATATATATATATATATAAAGAAAGAACTTTGTGAGTATTAATGTAACAGCTCTTAGAGTTAGTAAACATTTCTAAATTATACTGTGGCTATTATTTATGATAGACTGCGGTATTCTAGCAATATATATATATATATATATATATATATAAATATTTTTTTTTTTTTTTTTTCAGATTTGTGATTTTGCAAAAGTACTTTTAACAAAATTTATAATTTGAAATCCATTGTTCAGTTGTCACCTTTATATATGTTTTACACGTTCGAGGTAGAGTCATTAAAATAAACTAAAACTAAGTTAGGTGGAGCAGTATACTTAAGCTTGAGAATAGCCTGAACCACTTTGGCTGGATTGTTTTAAGAAGGCATACTTATCGTTCACATGCCGATCTCGATATTGTGAGGTTCTACATGCAAAAGGTCACTAATTCTCACAACTTAATGACAAAAGATTAAAAAAAAGGCTGCATTTAGAATTTCCGTTTTATTGCAAACTTTAAAAACTTGAATGGAACTTCAATTTGTGTGCTCAAAATTATTCTAACATTATTTTAGTAGAACATACAGTTTGGTTTACATTTTATTTTGTACCTAGGATGACCCTTCTCAGCAGTCCTTCACGATCAGCATCTTGTTGCCATTCCAAGTGTTTCTATGTGCAACTGAACAGCTAGTTCTGTTCAGGAAATCAAACCTGCCGTTGCACGGAAGTGTGAAGCGTGCACGTGTTTTAGTTGGATAGTCCAACACACGCACATATGTTAACATATAATATTCACAATGGTACGAATAAAAATGACGTGTGTGCTTGTGCTCCAAAAGTACTTTTTGCTGCTCCAAAAGGTGCTATAAAACGATTCGGGTCAATCACATCACTGCGTGTGTTAGCCAAACGTGCCAAGAACCCCCCGTCGTGCTGTTCTGCAGACTGGCAGACGCGTAAACTACAGAGCGAAATATAAGGATATTAGTGTGGGAAGGAAGAACAGACCACTGTGGGGGAACAGACGGCTGAACAAGAGACTAAGTATGGATGGATGGATGGATGAATCCGGCTGAGCCCTTTGGATCGGGCGGTAGCTTACGCCACCTAGCCATATGCGAAATGCACAGCGTCATCTAGTGAGGCGCCGAAGAACACGCTCCGTCTCAGTAGTTTTTGGTGCTGGCAAAGCCCAGGGCGCAAGAGCGTAGTTCTGAAGAATCCTTCGCTCGCACCGGCGCGCGGTCGTGTACCACTACTGCGTGCCCTTCACACAGGTGTACTCGTCCACGTCTGCGTGGTGAAAGTGATGAGTTTTTACCTCTTTAGGTTCGTCAAAATTTTACCAATTAACCGGTTAAAAAGATGAATCGCGATTAAATCATGAATCTATTAATCGGTAGGTTAATCGAACAATTGCCCAGCCCTACTCTGGATGACCTCTCCTTCTGAACTCGATACAAACAACTGCGTACGTTTTTTTTTTGTTTTTGTTTTTTTCCAGTATCGATTGTGTGTTGAAAAGCTGATGTTTGAGCCAGAAGTTGAGAGCTAAAAAAAAAAAAAAGAATGTCAATGAAGGAGCATAACAACTTGTAACATCTTGCTGCTCTGGTGGCAGATCAGTGCTAACATTTTTCCGAAGCAACTTGAAGGAGTTCGGGCGTCCATGCAGAGGAGATGCTAGGGTTACAGTAGCATCACTGACACTACTGACATACTTTATGTTGTTAATTGTTGCGAGAGCCACACAGGTACCAGCCGACAAGTCTTGAGCAATGTTAGTGGTGTTTACCATAAAAACGGTGGTTTTGGCAGCAGTGCACATTATGATTGTCATGGGTAAAGCAAGTCCCTTCTGAAATAACACTTCGCGATTTGGTTCCAGCATGCAGGTGTCGTCCGTCGCATATTCCACCAATTGTATACGATAGCGCCAGTAAATGGTGCTATCCGTGTGCGATTCACTGCGAGGAGAGCTACACATATTGTTACGAGATGTGGAAGTGTCTTTCGCATTTTCGTTGAGGAGAAGTGTGCGTGTGCCACAGTCAATACGTGCCCGTCGGTTGGCTAAGAAATCCCATTCTAAAATTATGTCGTGCGTGCAATTGTCCAAGACAGCAAAGCAACGGCGATAAGGTTCGTTATCGATAGAGATTTCAACGGAAGCTAGCCAACGAGGATTTATCAGGGTCGTGTTAACTCCATGAAGACTGCCACCGTCCCATGGCATGGTAACAAGCTTAAACTTGCTTCGAATGTTCTCGCTAACTATTGAAATCGTTGCTCCAGTATCAACGAGTGCTGCCAGTCTTACCTTTTTGATGATTATGCCAATTAAATTAGATGAGGACGCAGTCGGTGGGGGATGTTGAGAAAACCAAGAAGCAGCCGTACCCCCATTAACTGCCGCCTTTAGTTTTCCCCATCGAGGAACGCTTTTGGAAAGGTGGACTGCCCCCGGAGAGGGGAGGGCTGCCGGTATTTGGGTGAAGGGCTGCGGTATCTGCTACCACGATTGGAAAGAGATGAGAATCGGGAGACAGCTCAGTTCGAAAGACTGTTCGCAACCTTTCGGGGGTAAGGTGTGCCTTTGACAAGCTTCGTTGAGGCGAGGGAGACAAGGCAGCGAGCTCTTTGATTATTGTTCGAATGATCGAGGGAAGCGATGTCACCGGTCGATAAAAGTGAGGATGACGCAACGCAATTCTGGAGGCGAGTGATGTTTTCTGCTCCTGAAATGCGCAGATTCTGATGTGTTTCCTATCGCTGGCACTATTCCTGGAGTTTGGCGACTCTCGTTGGATTGTGAGAAATCAGCATGTTGATTGCGTCTTCTGCAGTCCCTTTTACGATATGGCTGACATTTTTCGATTCGGGCATCGGGGGTTTTGTAAACAGACACAGGGGCTAAAACCGCAAGGTCACGGCGAAGTATCTGAACTTGACTGGTTGAGTCGGTGAAAGCAAGCGCACTCGAAGTAGGGGGTGTGCGAATGTTGCTCGTATGCACTCTTTTCGAAAGTTTGTCGAGCAACATGGGCGCTCGCCAATCTTGCTTGGACACACGAAGCGCGTGATTGGATCCGAGTCCCCGCCGAACGCTGACGCAGCGCTTGTGTCCAATTCGAGCTGAGCCGAGTTCACGCCGAACGATGACGCGGACCTCGTGTCCAATGCATGCTCAAGGTATACGCGAGCAAGCAATGGCGGACAGGCGTTGGTGCGGACTTTTGCACACGGTCTATTGAATTAGCGCTGCGTCATCTCCAGCTTCAACACTGCAAAGAGAACTCCCTTGGGTCTCACCGTGAAGGCTATGAATGACGCAGCGATATTCGATTCCAAGCGATGTTTTGCGCTCCTCCAGCGCATGGAAGACAACCACAAACCACCGCCATGACTTTGCACTTCAAGTGGCGTTCGACCGACTTCACATCGGCTCGCAGTGTCGGCTGCACTCTGACTTAATGTCGTGTAACGAAGTATAGCAGGGCGATTGTTATCTCGACTCAGCGAGTCACGCTACGGACGAAGCAAGTCTCGTGATCGAAGGCTGCAGTCCGTATCTCGGTGAATCGGTACCCTTGTCTCGACGTGCGGCGGCGCTTGCTACCGGAAGACCTTCTCTGTTTTCAGAGTTTTGCACGGCAACCCGTGCCGCGGTAAAGCGCGTAGAACGGCGAGCGTGGAAGGGCCGCATCTGCGGGATAGCGGACTTCGTACGATCGGCCAGAAGATGAAGATTTCTACCGGGGCCATCGTCTGCTTTCGGAACTTTGCCGGTTTAGCGCACGCCTTTGCGGGGGTCGTCCAGTGCGTGTTCGCCATCCTGTTCAAAGGCAGTCACGTCGACGGCTTCGAGTTCGGACTCAACGTGATGTTGGGCGTCGTGGTAAGGTTGTTGCTGTCCCCGACCCACTTACGTAACTGCGCGCCGTATCGCACGTCGCGACTGGAAATCGCGAACCGAATTGCAAACCGAATCACGTTACTTGAAACTGCAGCTTTAGTTGTTTCCTGGTCGCAGATTGAAATATTTTCTCTCGTTTTTGTTTGGCTGCCCGAGCCTCCGTGATCGCGTATCGTCGGGAGGGGAGTTACCATGCGCATAAACTCTGTAGTAATTACGTAACATTGTTTGGTGTCTGTTCTAAATGTATAGCGCAGAACGCGGGCCTTTTATTGGGCGGTAAGCAGGAACTCGGTTTCTTCGACCAATCAATAACTCTGTGCGCTGCGCTACGCCGCGTTTGTTACGCTTGGCGCTGGAGTATAGTAAGAACCTTCAGCGCTCTCGTCTCCGCACCTTGGAACGCGGCTTCGATAACGTCACAGTAACACTGTGACGCCACGTGATATGACGTCAGGTAACGGCGTGACAACATCGCGGGGTGAGGTCACGCGGCACCATGAACCCATGTGACGCTGACGTCACGTGGGTACATAACGTAAGGTTACACGACCGCTAGCTTTTCCAATGATCACGTGACATCATGGCGTCGTGTGACACTATGACGTTACTGGATGTCACGTCACGTGACTTCACAAGGGACCCATCAGTGCAATTCATTTGGAGCGCCTTCGTCCTTTATGTGGAATTCTTTCGTGAAATGTTTAGACAGCTAGGCAATACTTTTATTTTCTCCCACCGGCTCATCACAAATAATATTTGACGCACAATTATCGGTACTTTTGGGGTAAATATAGAAAACCGTAAACCCGTGTTGCAATTATATTTTACGACCTGAAGTGCATTACCGGCGTAGTGCAGGCCAGCAAGAGAAACAAGTCGTACGCCGTCGAGGTAGGTCGTTTGTTAATATTATTATTGAGGATGTTAGATTATTAATGAATTGCATGTCTGGCGATTTCGCAGTATTTGTCATTTTGTTTTCCTTGGTATACATCAAATTCCGTGGGTGTGCTCTTTTGGTAAAGATCTCAATCGAACCCGCGATGCGAAATCTGTAATAAACTCACCTTATATTTTTATCCAGTTCTTTCACGCTTTGGGGTCTTGTGGAAATCTGAAAACACTGCTAGAATCATTCTCCGCGGGATGGTTAAAACCAGGTATACGAAGCACCATCCCATAGCGCGTGTCCGAAAACAAAATTTGGGATCTGAACCGATCGCCTGAAGTACTTTTCTCACAGGTGCAATGCGATCTTTTAGCTGACTATCATTTCGATCGACGCCCGAACTTTCGATAAACCATATTTTGCATTGCACCCCACCATGAATTCTTATAAGTGTCTGAAACTGATTATATTTCAAGCAAATGCTATATCAGAATATATCGTCTTTATTTTTATTCGCATGACGACTTGGCCGGCGGGCGTGTGGCAGACGGCATCTTGCATTCGTCGTCTGCTGCAGGCATCTTAAGGACCGGAAGTTGCAGTCGTAAATAGCGATTACCGGCACACTTCTGTCGAAACATATGACATTCAAGCTTTCTATACCTGTCATTTTTAGAAGTTTAAATCCTACTCCTGATTTTTGAACGGTCGGGTTTTCGTAGCGAAACCTAGCAACATGTATTTGTCCATAGCAACGATCCTAGCAACGGTTTGTTTGGACCCATGACATTGCACTTACGGAGTCAATTCACGCACAACGGCGGACACAGCAACTGAAACTGCCAAAAAACACAAACTAAAAAAAAAAAAAAAAAAATTGGAATACTGCATTGGAATAAATGAGAATATTGTATTCCCATTTATTGCTACCCCCCCCCCCCCCCCCCCTCATGTAATGCGCCCTCAAAAGACGTCCTTGAGGTAAATAAAATGAAATCAAATGAAAAATGACAGACGTCTTCGGCCCGTAGCGTCTTGTTGCAATCTGACATAAAACAAAATACGGCTTCTAATTGTTTTTAGGAGTGACGCAGGGAACACGTTTACATATGACGGAGCATAATTTGAGGAAAGAAGGTGGCGTCTTTCAGTTTAATCTGTTACATTTGGGGAGGGGATCGAACAGTCACGCCTCTAGCGGTACGCTTCAGCTTTGGGAACACCAAACCATATTTTCTTCTTTGTTTTTTATCCGAAATATCGAAGATGATAATTTCAAGGCCGTTCTCCGTGCGACCAAAGCACCGGTCAGAGCGAAGCGCTCGTGCTTAAACCGTGCTGGGCGAGGTTCAATTTCTTTGTTGTGCCGTATCGGTAAACACCGAGCTGCGTGGACAACAAGCTCGATAAAGCGCCCCGTTTGTTTCCCCACCAAACGTGGGCGCGTTTGGTGGGGAAACAAACGCACGAGATGCGCTAATAGCGGACGTACTTGCTATTTTCTTCCTAAAACAAGCACCATCGCGGCAGTCGGTGCCGCAAAGAATCGCCAAATGTTCATCTATTGAAACTTCGGAAAGATAATTTTTACCCTCAGTCATCCAGACAGCCTAACGTTGAGAAGCTGACCATGGAAGTAGACCACACGAGATTTTGTAAAATTCCTCAATACAATATTCACCTTTCAGATTAGCTAGATGATATGGGGAAAGAGATGGAGGGTGAAAACGAATGATTTTGTGGATGTTCAATTGTGTATAATAAAAGAAAATCTTACATCAAAAACTTTTCGAGGTTGCTGAAGGAGAGACACCGACTCTGAAACTCATCGTTCACTTTGAAAGAGGCTCTGCTTTTTGTTTTTTTATTATAAAGTTTTGAGATGACACTAATACTGATATACGACACGGTGTGCATGAATGGAGTTCATTCGCAGGTAAGATCTTTGAAGACCCAGTTAAAGGACTCGCCTATTTCCAGTTTCACGTTAAGCGTGCTTTTCAGACGATCTTATCATGTCGCAGAATATTCCTCTGGGCTGCGTCCTGACCACGGTGATGCGGAAGCGATTTGAAGCCGGCGAGCCTGGACAATATGTGGCACTGGTAAGGGACACCCTTGCCGCTCTCTGTAGTTACGAGAACACCGGTCAGGACTGCACGGCAGTGGCGTAGCCAGGAATATTTGGAGGGTGGGTGCGCGGGCCGGGGGGGGGGGGGGGGGGGGGGGGGTTGAGCTGGTTGGTAGTCAGTCTTGGGTAGTAACGCGTTACTGTAAATTTGTTACTTTTTCAGTAACTTGTAACTGTAACGAGTTACTTTTTAAAAATGTAACTTGTAACTGTAGTTCTATTACTTTTTCTCAGGTAACAATAAAAGTAACGAGGTTACTTTTGTCGTTACTTTTCAGTTTTTTTAGGAATAATATATCATTGAACGAGTACAATCTAGCTATTCCTAGCATTTTCCAGATTGTCTGCTCCAACGTTTCGAGTGTCAAGTTGGCCTTGCACAAACTTTTAAATTACGTTATTTCTCGCGAGTCACGACCCGAATATAGTATTGTCACGTGTAGATGTGATAAAAAAAAATATCTAGTTATCTTTACGCACGCGTTTGTACCTTATGGCTGGGCACTGACATCTTAGTATCTTGAAGCACTTTCAATGTTGCCGCTGTTCTTTTTTTTTGAGCAGTGAAACAACAATACACTCCGAGGGCATTGCGATTGTTTTGTATTTTCATTAGCACCACTAACCTGCACTGATCATGCTTCGTATTTTGATTTGCGCCACTACTCCGGCGTGGTGTCATCAGTCGAGGCAAAATTTACTTCTGTTTACGCGGGGTTTTACTCGTTGCTCTGGTTGCGCGGGGTCTGTTCAGCAAGGGCAGGGGACGTGTTCGCCACCAAAAACAAGGGAAACTTTCAGACACTAATTTCGAGAAGCAACTTCTGCTAAGTTACAATATGAAGTAAAAAGCGTACTTTCTAATTTTATGCAATAAAACTTGGGGATGGACGTTTTCTAGCCTTTCCTACATTTTTTGTGTTATAGAAAAGTAACTGAAAAGTAACGTCGTTACTTTTTAAGAGTAACTAACTCTAACGAGTTACTCTTTTGTTGCGGTAACTGTAACGGTAACTTCGCTACTTCTGTCTGACAGTAACTGTAACGAATTACTTTTTAAAAGTAACTTACCCAAGACTGCTGGTAGTATGTCTATGGTGTGAGGAGGGAGGGAAGGGGGGTCACAATTCATGTGTATGTTATACATGTTTGCAAGTCCGGTCTCAGGGCCCCGCCATCTTGCTTAGTTGGTGGGCGCTTGGCCGCGGCCATAATGCGATTACGACGCCTTAGCAAGTCTTCGTAATTATGACCGCGCCTAAGCGCACCCCAGTGAGCAAGATGGCGGCGCCCTGAGACCGGACATGTTGGTTGGGAAAAAAAGGGAAGGGGGTGGGGGGTGAAGCCCCAGAAGCTTCCCCCTTGGCTATGCCACTGCTGCACGGATAGATGATTCATGATTGCGGTTCGCAGGTGTTGCGTCATCGTGGTGCATGGTTGTGCCCCAGGCCTGTGAGTGCTCGCGCCAAAGTTTTCAGCTTTCTTACCTCCCGGAGCGTCTGAAGTTGTTTTGCTCCACATCACTGACCCATAATTGGCGATGAATCATGCGAATACTCGTGTGTAGATGGATAAGTATTGCTGGCTAAACAATGATACATAGGTAGAAAGATTCCTCTATATACACAAACCGAAGTATATTAGATGCAATTTCATTGTGGTCAGCTCGATATTTTAGCTATATTTCAGGGATAGATGAAAGTGAAATAAAAGTTGCACCGCTAAAAAAATTGACATTGTGGCGAGAAAGTATAAAACCATGGCCAGAAGCACAAATACAACAAAAACAGATATGCGATTTTGAAGCGGATTTGATTAAAAAAACAAATAATAATATATATTTAATCTTTGCGATTACAGGCAATTACGAATGGTGGCATAATTTAATCATGGAACGTAACATCATGGAACGGCATAATTTACCGTTCCATGATGGTAACACAGGCTCAGTCCTACTCAGTTTTGTATCGTACTCATGAGTACAAAGGCTCCGCGATGATGCGCAGAACGTTCTGTACACAACTGTCTAAACGGTTGCTTGATCATGAAACACAAAGTGCTTGCGTTGATGCCCATCAAAAGACTGCCTGACTAAAATGCGAAGCGCCCCCCCCTCCCCCCCCCCCCCCCCCCCACTCTCCCGAAATCTTCCATTTTGCTGGGACCTCCTCTCCCCCCTCCCCCTCATACAGCATTTTGTCATGGGCGCCTCCCCCTCCCCCCGAAACAAAATCCTGGCTACGTGCCTGCGTCTTCCCATTTCTAGCATGGCGCGTTGACTGTGGCACGTTCGCATGGCGGAAGATTCGAAAGTGGGCAGCGTTGCCTCGCAGAACCGGCTCAGCGTGTCCCTTCTCGGGCACTCGGTGGTCTTCAACGCCGCCTGCGCTTCGGTTGTGTACCTGCTGCCTTCCGACCCGGCGCCATTACCAGGAACGACTTCCACGCGCTTCCACGAGCGCTGGCTTGTCGCCCTCGACTACAGTGAGTACGAACCGCGGGTGTCTCTCCAATATGTTTGGCTGAACTTGAGCGTGCAAAAACTTTTCGCCATTGCAAAAAAAGAAAAGAAAATAGAAGAAAAAAGTTTTTCGTATGTTTTAAATGCAATATTTTTTCCCCAAGACTGGCGGGAATAAATTTTCAACTCTAGCCTTATGTTGTATTCACCTGTTGCCACATTCTTTTACGTTTTTCAAGTATTGGAGCCACGCACGTGTGCCATGGATGTTGGGGAATCCAACCCCAGGCTTTTTCAACATATAAACACCGATTTAACGCCCGACATAAAATATAAACACCGGAAAAAACGCCGAATTGGTGAGACACCCCTGAATTTGAAGAAAAATCAACTCCCCAAGCGCGGGACCCTAGTTATAAGATACCATTTATCATCTAGTGTTAAGTTCTGGTCTCGCAAGTACTCCAGAAAAACATTCAGTGTATAGCATATAAATTGCCCACGACGTCACAGTGTGCCGGAATGTCGCAAGTTGTCTAGACATAGGATCAGGGCCCGTTCACACACTTGCGACTTCTTAGAACCGCGTGCCTTGAAACCTCTTAAAATCTCTTGCGACAAGACAACACACTGGTGCCACCTATTGGGAAGCCGTGGAACGGTCGGCGGTTTCATACTTTTAGACTTGAAACACTTTTGACCATGTTATAAACGACCGTTTCTCGTAGGTGGTATACCTATGCATTTGACCTCGCGAATAGCGCAAAGCATGCGCTCCACTGAAATGCAGTTCAAGAGTCAAAGCATAGATGGTGCCAGCGTGCTAGTGTCTTCTCTCGTCGTGAGAGATTTTACGAGGTCTTGAGGCGTTCGGTTCTAAGAAGTCGCAAGTGTGTGAACGGGCCTCACAGTCAAACGCAAATGTGTGAACTAGCCTTTACAGAGTAGCATTGCAAAAGAAACCTTAATTGATACCGGCTCATTATTGGTGCAGTGGCTGTGGCGACCCTGGCGATTCCGTTGGCTCTGGTGTTTCTGGCCACGGCCTGCCTGTTCAGCTTGTCCAAGAGCCCGCTCAAGAACGTCATTCCCAAGGGGGACGTTATCCTCGACGACTACACTCAGGTGACGGCTGTTCCATCTTATCTCAAGTAATATCTTAAGGAACACTCAGTGCGCACGCGCTGGTTTTCGGAACTTATCCCGGTGAATGAATTACACGGCTATCGGTTCGCTTGCGGGACTCGGTGCGTCTTCTAGCTCGAGCAAAATCGGGAAAATGGTAACTATTTCATCTGATTGTAAAATGCGTGGTGTACCGGCAGGGAAACGGAAAATATTCCTTTGGGGAGATTTACTTTTTGGGTGGACAGCGAGGCCGGGACAGTGAGGTTCTTCGTGCAGTTTGACACGATGCATGAAAATAGTGACTAAATATTTCCCCAGCAAATATAAATATATATTTCTTTAATTTTGATATTGAGAAACGTTAAATACGAACAAATGGCGAATTAATTTTGTTCTCGGTGCCCTGCCTTTCGACAGTTTTCGTCGGTATCAATAAGAGAACTACAGTCATCCGCAGTTATATTCCGGCACCTTTCTTTTCTTTTTTTGTCATCTTTTTTTTTTTTTTTTTTTGCGTTAGACACGACTAAAGTTTAAACACATTTCTGTCAGAAACCACGTTGCTGTCACCTTTCTTGTGCAAAGAGCAAGAGACTAAGGTTACGAAGTCTGCAGAATATCTATCGATCGTCGATAAGAGTGCGGCATTGCGAAGAGAAACTAAAGGCGCGTTCACACTGGCGACTGGCGACAGTCGCGGGAGCGATTAGCGACATCCGACCGCCGACGTTCACACTTGTGCGATCGGCGAGTCGTTACTGGCGGGTCGCTTCTCGGGTAGATTCAGGGTTCGCGTTTCGCTGCTTTTCTAATTTTGTTGTCTCACAGCTACGGATGCGTCGTCGTTGCCACATGAAAAGGACTCATTATGTTGACCTGGGTCCTTTGGAACCGTACGAAGAAGCACAATTGGTACATAGGCGTGCACTCGCTCGAGCTACCGCGTCGCGTACGTACCTTTCAAGAAGTGGCACGGATTTGCCGCCAGGCCGAGTTTTTTCTCGGTTGCTCGTACTAATCGCGATGCCCCGCTTATAAAGCAATGGGTATTCTTGAATAGCGCTGACTAGCGCCGCCGCAGAGACCTCCGTAGCCCTGTATCCACGGCCGCTGCCGCGAACCGAGGCTTTGAACGGATATGCTGGTTCGGTGCTGCCTTTCCCACAGACGCTCGGCGTGCCGGACGTAAACAAACGCGAGGCGCATCTCCCGCCACTTTTGAGGCGCCGCCGATTGGTTCAGACGCCGGGGGACACGGCGACAAGTCGCCAAATTCGGTCCGGAAGAGACTGGTCCAGACCTGTCGCTTTCGCGACAAAAATTGTCGCGCGACACCTGCGACTTGCCGGTGTGAACGCGCCTTAAAGGCGGGGGCTCAAAATTTTCTTCAGCGTGGCAGAAGATTCCCCCTCTTTTCTTTTTTTCCTCCTCCCCTTTCCTCCTCCATTTTCCTCCTCGCTTTTTACGGCCTTCTCACACGAGTGCTAATGGGCTTACCGGCCCCCCGACAAAATCTCTGTAACCCTTCAAGGTTCTCTGCTTTAATCCCAAAAACCAGGGATTAGTTAGGCAGGCTGGATATCAGCTCGGAAGGGTTCGGGCTGGCTCGCTTTTCTTCTTTTTTTCTTTTTTTTTTTGCTCTTTTTCTGCAGTTCTAAAACACACTCAGATAGTCAACACCAACTAGCCCAACAACAAGTTCTTTTACATTCAGATACTTTCGCATGCGGCCACACATGCTACACCACCGCATATTTATCTCGAGTGAACGGAACTTGAACATCACAGCAGAAGGAAAAAAGATGGGTATTTTTATCCGAACTTTGAGCTCTACTCAGAGAGTTGAAAATTTGTCGTTCTAAAAACGGCACACTGAAGAGTGATTATATCACTATTGTGTTCTTTTTTTTTTGTTTTTTTTTGTGTACAAAGTAATAATAATGAGTAATTACAAGTCAAAGATATTGCAGTCAGAGGGACCCAGTCTGACCATTTCTGGGGCATAATATATAGGTTCGTACTACAGGTGTTTTCTAGAGTGACGGCCGCCTCGTTGAAGCTACTAAGAAGAGTAAAAACAAACTTCTATAGAAACTGAAACGGTTTATGGTATATTTCATCTATCTTCAGCCTTTGAAAACGTGCATTTAGTTTCTGTCGACAAATGTAACTGAAAACTTGACACCCGACAAATATCTTGCGTATCAGCAAAGAGAACGGGAAACACGGAGATAGAACCGCAAAATCACAATTTTCTTCGCGTAAAATAGTGCAACTAGCAATATTATGCCACTAGCAATATGATGCCATTTATTAAAAGACAGCAGGTATTACGAAGTTTTCATTCTCTTCTGTTCGCATTAGTTCGCTGATGAAGAAACGGAATGCCCAGATAGCCTCTGCAGCCCTTACATAATTGTTTGGGGCTTTGTCAGGGTGGGCGAAGGCCATCTCCAAAAAAACCCAGGAGTTCGGAAGGTGTACTGCCGCAAGTTTTGGGGCTGCTTGGATAATTTAGGCGTCTGGCGTTCCCCGCCTACTTAGAAAAGGAATGGAACAGCGGTCAGCTCAACGTCGTCACCAAGCGGGAAATCATGCCGAAATGTGTCCTTGAACACGTGCGAGATCTTTACCCGAACCCAGCCGGGATTCGCCACAATTAATCTACAAAAAAAATTATAAAAAGGGGTAGGCTTAAACGATTTGGCAGTTTTTGAATATAGTCATGCGGACTAACTGTCCACAAGTACGGAAAGAAATGCAGTAGAGATGCAGAGCTCTATTGTGTTATTTATGTCCATACTTGTCTTTCGCGCTGTACGCCAATTAAAATGAATTATGCAATATCTATAGAATATGTCTGGTTATGTTGTCTTTAAAAGAAAAGTAATCAAGCAAGTTCGGTATTGTGCCACAATTTGCGCATTACAATTTTATGTGGAATTCAAATTCAAAACAGTACTTCCGCGGGAAATAATGCATCCGTCGTTCTTCGTCTTCCTGAAGCTATGAACTACCGATCCCGGTTACAGGACTTTTGGGTCCACAAAATATCACGCTCAGTAGAAAATTCGCCTTTTTTACCAAAAGTACTGAAAATTATTTATTTTTCAAACAGGTCGGGTGGTGATGCGTGTTTGAGTGTAGAACCGTTGACCATGGGCACTGGTTTGCGCCAAGAGTGCAGTGCTTTCTTTCATGCTGCCCGCGACGAGTGTTGAAATTTGACTATAGTAGAAATAAAATCAACTGACACCCTTAGAATTATTTTAAACTTGCGCTTTTTTCAGGCATTAAGATTTTTATCGCACCTTTTATTCATTGTCGTCTTCGATGAGGGAACAACTTGCCGAGGAGGCCGCGCTGTCCGCGTACGCGCCTTGACAGATAAGGTCGCGAATGCTTTTCACGAATATTTAAAGACCAAGCATAAAAATGAAAGACGCAGCCACTTTACGCCAATGAATTAAGCCAACTTTATGTTTTGGGTAGACGTCTTGCGAGAGTTGCAGTATTTTTAATTATGCCTAATAAATTAAATGTTTAGGACTAAGTACCAAACTTTTTTTAGATGTATTAAGAACCAAAATATCAATTGGAAAGTTCTAGAGCTGCTTGAGAAACACCCGAATTAGCTGTTTGCAACGTGATGCGGCTCGCGTGGCTTCCTTCTGATTAGTAATAAAGCTTATGAAACATGACAAAATACCCCGTGATAAAGCGCCCGCCCCATCATAAACTCAATTTCGAATGTCCCGGGATTTGTTTTCATAGGCCCCCCCCCAAAAAAAGAGAGATGCATGCGAGACGCGTGCCCCACGCTTTATTTATATCAGAAAAGAACTGCCCTCTATTTTATATACAACGTTTTTTTTTTTTTTTTTTTCACCTACTAGATATTAGAAAAAAACGTGGAAATTAACGTTTTGTGGATGTGAGCTAAACGGCCAGGCGAAGATTGGGCTCAAGAAAGAACGCAACAAAAACCGACTGATTACCTAACATTTGTTAATAAACTTTTTGATTATAAAAGAAAACGGGATAGTTGATTTATAAAGTTGTTGGGCGTAATCGAAAGCCACCAAATTGTCCAGTGAAAATTAGCGCCATTGCGGTTTGTGTAGGTGAGCTATACGGCCAGGCGAGGATTAGGTTCAATAACGAACGCAACTAAAACCGACCGATCGCCTAAAATTCGCTAATTAACCTTTTAATTAGAAAAGAAAACGGCATCTTGTATTTAGAAAGTTGTTGGCCATAATCGCAAGCCACCAAACCGTCCATTCTTAAAAAGGTGTAACGCGCGTACACTATTATACGGCGTCCTCCTAATTTGGGCGCGAAAATATAGTTCTGATTTTATGTGGGCTCCATCTCCGCGTGGCACAGCCTAACGCCATGAAGCTAAAGCAACAAATCTTGCGCATCGCTGTGACAACGCCACTGTAGAAGGGGCGGGGAGTGCGGTGGCCGAAAAGATTGCGGTAACACGATTCGCGTCCAAATTAGGCTTTTTAGGACGCCGTGAGCCACTTCACGTCCACTACATCTCTTTAAAAATGAATGATTTGGTGTTTTAGATGGCTATAGATAAGGCACAAACCGCAATTGCGTAACTCTGACGTCTTTTTTAGAAAAAGTGTCTAGTCGTTAAAAAAAATCGCCCTGTATAAGCACGATTGTAAGGCAGTTCTTTACGTCCGGCGACATCATTACGGCATGGAAGGAGACGTTGACCACAGATCATACTCTGTGTATGATCTGTGGTCACTGTTTTTTTTTTGTACGAGAATGAGCAAACATTTGATACCAAATAAAATAGATTTAGCATTCACCAAATTCGGCTTGTTTACTTCATTCAAATCGATATTTGATTTGATTACACTCAGTTTGTACCCGCACACGCCTACTTTATTCCCTAATGAGTTACAAGTAATAATTACATTTGTTTTGTATTTTTTTTTGTCGTGCGAGGTCATCACAATTTATTATTAACAATCGGAGCTATGCGATTACGCGGAGGAGGCGCATTTGAAGATATTCAAAATTGTTCTGAATACACAAACAACTTCAAACGTCTTGCTGTTTGGGTCGTTTCCTACACGCAGGACCAATAATAAAGTCAACGCCTTATAGAGGAGACTATTTCTATCAACTCAACGCGCAAACACGATGTGAAGCGTGTCTGCGTACGTTGGAAAAGAGATACTGGCGAGCAAACCATAGCGTCGAATGTCCATGCATCAAAATGTCCGTGCACCGAAATATCCGCTCACCAAAAAGTTCCACACCGAAAAGTCTTTGCAGCAAAAAGTCCGTACACTGAAATGTCTGTGCACCAAAAAGTCCGCACCGAAATGCCCTACAGCAAAACGCTCTACACCGAAAAGTGCTAGACCCACTGCGGATGGGATCCTCTGTCACCTCTGCCGGTTTACGAACCATGATGATTCAGAACCACTGGTCTATGGAGCGCCATCCCTGATATACAGAAAATGCCGCTCGTACTTCCCGTTGTCGCTATGAATCCGCCTAAACAACAAAAGATGCCAAATCAGATATTTATATTACAATTGATACTTCAATGACTACTTCTTTGAGCAGAACAAGGCATTTGTGCTCTCACAACAGCAAAGAATCGTCTTCCAAACCAATGCTAAAAAAGAGCCAATGCAACTCGTTGGGAAGAGCAAGTGCCAAGCTCGCTCAAAACAGCTACTCGGTTGGTTCAGGTCCTTGTCGCAGGTGTGCCGGCTGGCTTCTGGATAATCTTTTCAAATCCTTGAAGCTTTCATTTCCTCCACCCCAAACTTGTAAAAAAAAAAAAAAAAAAAAAAAAAAAAAATGCAGCCGGCAAAAAAACAAAAACAAAAAAAAAAATCGGAAGATGGCGAGGAGGAAACGAGAGGCGATTTCCCCCTTTCACAGTGGCGAGAAGGAAAGTGAGGGTCGGGTTCCTTCTCTCTGCTTGCGGGCCGGCCTTTAAGAGAGAGGAGGAGATGCGAGGGTGCGTAGGCGACAGAACGCCGAGCTCTGATTGGAAAGATTAGTGGGTAGACCCAAAGGCTAGCTGGGCCTCTTTCTACCCACTGTCCCCCTCCAATCAGAGCGAACAAGAGTGCCGTCTGCCCCTCGCGTAGTGTCGGGCGTTCGAACGCCAAATGACGGCGTTCGGCATTTGAACGGGTTCGAACCGAGAGTGGAGACAAAGGCGCGGCGCCACGACGTCCCCGCTCACACCAGTGTCCTCCTCCCCCTCAGTTTCTCTCCGTATTCGCAACTCTAGCGCGCCGCTCGCCCTCCCGCGGACGAGCGGAGAACCAGAGGAACGGGGACGGCAGCGGCGGCGGCGGCGCAGAAAAGGTGGCACGAGCTGTCTGCCTTGATGCGTGAAACCGTTGTAACGAAAAAAAGTGAGCGCGTTAAAAAAGGAATTCTTATGCTCCACCTCGCAACAGCGTTGCACGAAGGACCGGGATGTCTAATTTTATTAGGGACTTTTCGTATATCGCACACGCTGCCGATTGCTGGTCTTGTGCATGACCGCCAGCTCGATCTGTGCTCAACGTGACGGCAAACGCTCCCGCTAATAATGTAGAGCTCCAGCGTTCGGTCTATGAAAAGTCTATTCTTTGTCCTAAGTAGGAGAAAACTGGTCGCGCAACGATATGTCGAGCAATACACGTCGGGAATGGGTTTGCGTTCTAAGGCCGTAGGAACATGACCATTTACTCAAAGCACTTTTAAAAGATAGAATACGCGTACTTGCTTTCAGGCAATTGTAAGTAAATAAATAAATTCCCGAAGAATCTTAAACGTGTCTGTGTTAGCCAGCCGTTCATGACGAAAGCTTAGAACGGGCAGTTTTTCCGAGAGGGGCCACAACGTTGCAAATAAAACGGTACAAAAAAGAAAAAAAAAAGTACAGATATTAAAAAATGCATTTCTGGTAGAGAAAGAAATAAAACCCCTAAACACGCCGATTATGGTAATAGGCAGTTTTAACATAGCGTTACCGCAGGCAACCGTTGGCTACCGTGAGCACGGCAACGCTCCTGGCACGCGCTAAGAATTGTGCTTCAAAGGAGCAGCGCAAGCCTCCGGTTGAAATGCTACACGGCGCGGTAGCCTGCGGTAACAAACTTCCTATCAATAACCATAGAGCAGTTTGATCACGTGTTGCAATACACTAAAAGCGAGACGGTAAGCATCGAGTTGCGAGCCTGTGACACGAAGGCGTCAATACTGTGAACGCTGCTCTTCTGAAGCTTCACGGTCACCGTGCGCTGCTCACATTTTACAGCACTAATGGCCAGGCAAAGCCCAGACACGGTATCTTCATCACCCTCTAAAATATTCTGCCACAAACAGTGACGTGGCCGGTGCGTAAAACGCGCTCGCCCACAACAAAGCTTCGCAAGTCGAGGTTTCTGCAACTTTTAAATATCCGCATGCTCATTTTACTAACGGGCATCAACATCTCCGTCACTTGCAATATGATCCTGCCCTAGCCATTTCGCGTTTGCAGACAAATAAACCATTTTTAGAGCACTGAACAGCGTCAGCAAACAGGCGCACGGGAAACCCTGGAGAGTCTATCCCCGTCTCTTCCGCCATCTTGGAACTACCGCCCCGCCACCTATAGGGCGTTGGAGTTGCGAATAGGTTTACCAATTCGTAACCAGTTCGATCAAGGCTAGCATACAGTCACAGGCTGGTTTACAAATCAGTCACAAACACAAAAAGAAAAAAAAAAGTGTTTTTTTTTAATTTTTTTTAAAGAATTAAGTAAACTAGAATCATTTTATTTAAATGACTGCGACTAAAAAAAGAAAAAGGATTATTTATCTTTATATGTATTTTCAAAGATGACAGATTGATTGATTAATCCGTTCAATCTCTGAAAACAATACGAAAGAAAGGATTACTACGCTTGTAAACTTCATGAATACAGTTTAATTAAAATCTTTTTACTGATGTAAATAGAACAAAAGTAGATTATTTTTTTTAATTGGTAAAACGGGTTTTCATTTTTTTTTTTGCGATCTGGATTTCTCTGCGTACACCATTACTTTTCTTGTTTTGGTTTCTTCACATTTTCATTTGCTTGCAGTACCTAACTGACAAACGAATTAGAAGGTATAGAGAAACAAAAGTTGGGATTTGTTTAGAAGAGCATTATTTTTTGTTCGTTTTCAACCTGTTGTAACTTTTTCTTGCATGGTAGTTGCATTTAAGTACAAATCAACTGCACATAGCGAGCAAAGTAAGCAGGCGCAATAAAACAATACGGAAGAAAGGATTACTGTGTGTTTAAACTTTATAAATACTGTTTCATTAGAACGTTTTCATTGACGTAACGAGAACAGATGCAGCTTTTTATTTTTCTACTTCGTAAAAAGCGTTAGTTGTTTTTCTTTTAGAAAGGGGGGGGGGGGGGGAGCAGGGTCTGATTTGTCTGGAATAGGAAATTACTTCTCTTGTTTTGGTTACTTTCTTTCACACTTTCATCTGCTTGCAGTAAAACATTACGTAACTGACAAACAAAGTAGAAGCTAAAGAAATACAACTACAACAATGTTTTGATTTGTTTAGAAGCGCACTACCTTTTGTTCTTTTTCAACCTGCTATAAACTTTTTTTTACGATGATTATTGTTTTTAGGTGCAAAACAAGTGCACATAGAAAGCATCAACTGATTTATTTCTTTACAACTACCCTCAGTGCCTTGAGGAACATTACAGAGGAGTGTGGTTGGTTACTACAATTCTAAATTTAGCGTTATCGGTGTTAGGCTAGGTGGCGCAAGCTGCCTCCCATCACCATCCATCCATCCGTCCATCCTATAGTGACGATGTCATCGGGAAGGCCATACTAATACACGATAGCTTCTGGTAGAAGAAAATGTTGATGGGCTGGTGAAATGGTCTTGGGACGGACAATCTTGCATGGATGCTCAAGTGTTGCCGATATGTAGCTGGGCTGGCTGAGGAGAGACTGTCGCAATGGTTCAAAATAGTAAAATTTATGAAAAGGGAAAAGACGGGAAATCCTGCGACGAATGGAAAGATCAGAAAGAGTTAATTAGACAAAGGTAGACAAAGCCTAAATAAAAGGTGTTTTCGGGAATGTTTCTCCGGGAAAGGTTTGACTTAACTCGTTAAAGTAACACCGGCGTGACTTAAATCACGATATTCAATCACGATACAAATCGTTCTGATTTTTATCCTCCACCCTGGTCACAAGAGGAGTAAATTCCTCTCTGGTCGTAAGCAGTCGCAACTGTGCGTGAACCTATGCCTTTCGATCGGAGGTTTCGAAAATCTTTCGAACAGTTCTTCTCTCCCCCAACTCCTCCCCAGTTTGCGCGAGTGGACAACGTGGAGCTGAGGCCCTTCACCTGGGTTTTCGACGGCAGCCCCGCTTCACAGCTCGCGCAGCGGAGAAGACCAGGGCGTCCCAGAACCCCTCTCTCGTCGCGTGGGACCGACCTGCCTTTCCTTCCGCCGAGGTCAGTCTTCACCGATGCCCCCATCTTAATGCTTTCTGCCCAAACTACTCTGGACTTTTTTGGTGCTCGATGCGGTTGCTTGCCGAGCTGAGTCTTGAAGACGCGCTGCAGCATTAGACCGCGCTCACACTGTTGGTGGTTGCGGCGTGTTTTCTCCTTGTATGACGGTCACATGGGTCATACTGAGACTGGCTGCAGAAATGTTCGAAGTGCACACATGAAGCAAACATGTCTAGACCATGCTAAGGCGTGTGAAGATAATTGTGCCGGTATGTCTGAAGCGAATATCATGACTTTTGCATGATCAGCGTGACTATGTGCGGCTTTAGAGATGTAGCAGAATGACGCTGCATTAAGTAGTTTTAGTAGGTCGTTCCGACAACTCCGATAACGGTACCGTGTACTCCGCAGACGCTTTGGCGTGTGCATCATGCCGTTATCGGATGTACCGTTATCGAACGTACCGTTATCGGATGTATCGGAACGGTCACCTAAAACTTCCCTGTTTTCATTACAATATATATATTCGATACTATAGCATGCACACAGTGGCGCGTAGCGCCGTTGCGCGTGCATTTCTTCGCAATATTGGATACGGTTTTCCGTATGCAAAAACCAACAAAAACAATCGACTAAAATTTATTCTCTACCGCTGGCACTGGAAAAAAGTTTGGTGACTTGTCCACCAATGGCGTTGGTTGGGGGGAGGAAGGGAGGGAGGGAGGGAGGGGAGAGGACCAAAGGAAACCAGGTGACTTGGACCAACGAGCCTGGTGGACGCTTTGTTCGGGGACACATGTACTGGAGAAATGGGCATTCCTCATCTGGACCAGAAGAACGGGGTGAAGGTGGAAACCGAGTGCTATTCCGGTGTGCTGGGTCGTAGAAAGAGAATTCTATGAATTGAAGCCCCACTGGGAATATCCTTCAGAAATCCTTCCGCTGTGGCAGAGCTGGAGAGCGACACAGCAAGAAAGTGCGATCTTTGGCGTTTCGTGTTGCTTCCTCCGTACTATTCGATTCTGTAGTAAAAACTAACGTCCGGGGTCAATTTGCTTAAGTGGGAAACCAACCTACAGTCGATAAAGGTTAAAGTTGGACCCCAATGTGCCAAAAACAACAGATTTATGCGTGTATACGCTGCGTGGCGCAGTGTATACACGTGGGACTTGTCACATCACAGGGTGGTCAACAATACCCGCAGGCATGCCCTCTCTTCCATTTTAACTGTGCAGCAGGTTCAGCTTGTCAGAAAACAAATAAGGCCCCCAATTCACGCTGTGAAGCTGGTTGGACCGCGAAGCGGTGGTATCACCTGCAGCGATTGCCCACTGCACTATACCAACCTTTCTATGGCAAGCGCCACCAGGTGGTGGTTCAGTCGTTGGCGCGCTAAATAACTTCCGGTTTATAAAAATAACAAACAAAGGCCACTTTAACAACACTGCTTTAAGTGTAGATGAAACGTTAACCGCCGATTCTCCAGGTGAACGCCAAAATAACTAAGGAGTGCGAGATCTGGTAAAATGTTCGAGTAATCTTGTAAACCAGCTTGCCTTCTCCAAGATGTAATATTGTAGAGCCGAAGGCCCTCATTAAATCTCCAACTTTGGTGTCCGTGTAGCATTTATGCTTTCTAGCACAGGTGACATAAGCAAGCTCGACAGGCTTGCAAAGACGATGCGACCGGAAGTCACTTGGAACGCAAGCGGCAGTTCACGTTTGTAAATAGCAGAAGGGTCTATATCAAATGATTGACAAAAGAGAATTAAATGCACTGTACCAAACATTTTTATATATGAAAAACTTCGTACGCTGCCGTTGCCGCGGCAGCTTATGCAACCCCAATCTTTACCGGGAAACGCATGCGGGGAGCGCTACGTTCTTATCACCTATCACGTGGTTTTGATACTTGCTTTGGTGTTTCCTTATCGAAACAAGTGTCAAAACCACATACGTGATAAGGCGTGCGCGAACGGTGATAAAGCACGCGCTTAAGTTTGTCAACGGAGACACACACACACAAAAAATCCCACCTGTGAGTCATATAGAGCTTCGCCGTAAGGTTTATTTCGGAGAAAATAGACTGGTCCGGCGCTCCAGAAGTAGTTACTATAACTCTTTACAAAGTATACATTGTGGACGTACTAGATCAGGAATAGAACGTTCACAAAAACGTCCACATGCCAAAAAAAAAAAAAAAAAAGGAAAGAAAGAAGCAAGATGACGACGCATTTACTATGTACGATTTGTTTAGCCGGTGATAGGAAACGTAGAGTGCTCCTCAAATTTAACGCCACCACGGCATTTGCCGTTTCTGACAGTCCCTGCGGCGGCCGATCAAACTATCTGAAGAATGTTTGGGTTCCCGATTTCTATCCCATCCTGAGAAGGCATCCCGAACGTTTTGGTGACAAATTAACAGTAAGTAGCCGACACGAGCTCGATGTTTGGGAACCCAGTGGCGACGTTAAGTTTCGGAAGCACTGTACAAAGACGACGAGTGCCATGACGACGAACTTTTGGTACTGATTGATTGACTCCATTGTATCGTGGCGCTGACAGCCGTAGGACTTGATGTGAAACGGAGGATATTATACGCTGCTCGCCACCAATTTGGCCGAACAAGGAAACAACGGGAGTCTTGATATTAGTCACATGACATCTCACCCCTAACTTCCGACTTGCAGGTTTACGTTCTGTCGCGGTCAGAGCGTCGGCGGTATCGGTACTTGCGAGCACCTGGCCGTGGCGGGTACATCGAGGCGCCGGGACGGGCGGAACTGCTCGACCGGCGGGCTGACGGGCGTCGCGCCGCTGCAGACGAGGGCGTCGTCCCGCGAGGGCTGCTGCTGCTCCCTCTCGAGCGGCGACGAGGACTTCGAGACCGCGGACAGCTTCTTCACGGACTGCTTTGACGAAGTTCCGCGCAATTCTGTTCAGGCTGTGGCAGGGCTGCCCGACGTTGGTAACACGGAAAGATCCTCTAGGTATTTTAAATAAAAAAATGAAAAATATCGAGGATTTGTTATGCTCGGGGACAACTTTCTGTGGTTTTGCGGTCAAAAGTACGGGAGCGCGTTCTTCGGCGCTGATTAAAGCTATGCACGCGCACTCCTCATTTTGTCTGAAAGAAAACAGAAAGTTGTCACATATGGCGGCGTGATGTTTTGGTGGCGCCCTTCTATGGTTCCCTCTCCTGAGGTCTTTACCTTGCGAACAACAAGCTCGATGGTGTTTGAAAGGAGCATGGTTCAAGCTTGAGGTTATTGCGCTCGGAAAGCAACACTGACAACACCGTCAACGTTTAAGCTTTTACCTTACCCTTACTTCCATCAATGAGAAATCCTTTGCTGATATCATAGTCAGCATTCGGTCAATCGTGGAAGGCCGACCACAGACACGCTTTTGATCGCTCACGTCACCAGTAGGAAGTTATGGCAGCCTATTCCCACATAACTGTTTCCTCAATCAAAGGTTTTTTGTTTCTGAAGCATTGATATATTAAACGTCGCCTTCGAAGTTTCAAGAATCTGAAGCATTGTGCTCAATTTTTATTTTATTTTTCAGCGCTCCCGGAGTCGATGCAAGGCCTTCCCAAGGTAAGTTTGCGGTATGTCTCTACAAATAGTATAATATTGTGTTAGGTAGAGAAAATAACTTAGCTCACTTAAATTTGTTTAGCTCGATCAAGATCACTCGTTAGCAAACTTGGCACGAAGAAAACCTATGGGAAATATATTGCAGTTTTTGTCTATCTTTCACTGTTCTTCGTAACTCCGAGAATTGTTCTTATGGCTGTCAATTATTCAGCGTTTTTACCCGATAGGACCTGTTATGGGTCTCGTCTGTTCGGGGTCCAGGCAGAGACAGGCCGAAGCCGGCCTTGCAGCGATTGGCGTCCATGGATCTCGGTGTCGATTCCCTCGGTAATCTTACCAACCTGGAGCTCTTGGCAAGGCAGTGGAGAACGTCGGTCATGCTCAGGGTAAGCTCTGACCAAATACGGAGATGTTTACACTAGGGGTGGTGTCTATATGTACTATTTAGCCTTTAGTCAGGTCAAGCATGTTGCTTGGTGACGATATCACTTCCATGATTTAGATAGTGCTGCACAAAACCTGTGGGGTACTATAGCCTCTCAGAGTGAAAACAGCAGGGCGTGTCTTTTGAACGAAAGGTTTCCAGCACGCGCTTCGTGCCTTCCGCCGTGCTTTTGGCCGCGTGCGCGTGCTCGAGGGGCACTATACGCAGAAGCGTTGTCGAAGGTTAGAATCTCGCGCTAAAGGCGTTAAAACAGACTCCAGCCTGCTGTTTGTACCTCGCCAGTGACTATAATAGAGGCTTCGTGGACAAAAATTATGCGCTTATAGTTACTGTCGTCAGAGAGCGAGTAGGAGTTTGTGTATCGGTTGGATATAGGGGGTCAATTTGAGTGTGCTGTGCGCGACAAGAGTTCTTATTTGCCGCAGCTGTTGTGCGCCTAGTATGTTCATGTCAGCGATGTATTGGCGGAAGAGGTGGTCATTCTTTGTATAGAGGGCTAACGAAGTACTAAGCCACTTGGGCAAATTATTCGATCAACTCTATTTTTAATTATTTGATTTGTTCTTTTATCTGCAGAAAATCTGGAGGCGGTCTGAAAGACGAGCTCGGTCATCTCGCGAATGACTCTCTGCAGACATTGGATTCGACGACTACGAATAAAATTAACGATCTGAATGGAAATACTTCTTTTTGCAGGTCACACTTCAGCTGTGGAACTCCCCTTCGCGCGGGAGTTCCACAACTCAGGTAATCTAATAACGTTGGAGCTAGCAAAGTGCTGGTGACGTCGTCGAGATTTTACACCTTTTGTCTGAAGCTAGAGTGGTTCCGTCAGCGGAAGATTGTGACGCGAACAATTGGTAAGGTCACAATGAACCGTTTTCGGAAATTGCCGATTTAGGGGGTTCTAGTGTGAAAATGAGCGAGCACGTCTTCAAGTGAATGCGAACACTTCTCGGCCAAAAACGCTTGATTCTGCTGGTTTTATTGAGCTGCAGTGACCTAAATTGGACTTCCCCAGAGCCCTTTATGTGCCTATTGTGACTTTGGATTCTAAGCACCTTTTTGAAACGTTTTCTTTTAGCTCTTTCTGAATGCGCGCATTGTTTCATATTCAGAATCCTCCAACCCAGTTTTCCGCTAAGTGGAGCCAGGGATTGCAAGTGGTTTTGTGGACACTCTCTTGTGTTACTTGTTTTTCCTTCTTGACCCTCAAAATACATTTTTTGACACTTAGAACGTACAAGCGTGCCTCCTCGACCTTGGCTGGGGAGATGAAATGTTGCTCTTGGTTGTTGATCAGGGACAGAGACTGCTGTCTCCTAGCCGATGTTTCTCCTGCGCGTGCAGGTTTGTCAATCACTTGCGCACTCATCATCAAGTCTGGCCACCTGATCAACTACAGGTTCGGCTGTTAGGAATATGCAAGGCCGGACTCCGTGTCACGTCCGCCGAATTGCGTCAAGGCATACTATGAACTTATTGCGGAATGCGTCATGAGCCGAGCCTACCGCCAAACTAAAGCACGCCAGTTGCCATGACTACGATACGCGAGTCTCCATTGTTCCTAAAATCTTTCGGCAGGCATTGTGCTGCATATCCTGAATTATTTCAAAGTAAACTTCTATTGCAGTAGCTAAGTCGCTTTTTGGAAATCTTGGATGGAACAGCGCAAATATAGTCACACTCGCAGGCACACAAGAAAGACTCGCAGCGCTGACTAACAAGTCAGTGATAAATTTCTTCCATAAAGAAGAAATACATTGGAAGGAGAAATATATTCTGAGTTGTTAGTCACCGCTGCGGGTCTGTTTGTTTCTTGTGTGTCTATGAGTGTGATTGCATATCCGCGCTGTTCCATCCAAGCATGAATTATCAGCTAGCCCAAGCCTCCACATTATCAACCTTCATTTTTGAAAGTCATGAAGAGCACAGCAGAATGTGACTTTTAGAGAAATCATCGCAAGTAGAGCACCCCCTTTTGACTTTTTTATTCGTATATTGCCAGCTTGCAGCTTACTAGCCGAACATCTTCAAATGTTATTCAACTAGTTTTTCAGAATATTTATACTCTACTCAAGATAGTTTGTACTCTAAATACATTTTCGAATGGGTATTTATTATCTGAAATATTTTGAATATTTTGCGCAACACTGAGCAACGTCACTAAACCACACGCTCCTTTGTCACAGTATAATTTCGAAGAGAAAACCGGACAATTTTCTTTAGTCTCTCCATGGCAAAGCTTGATGACGTAGCAGCTAGGGATTGCAGCGTTGGTGTATCCGCGGGAAATTGCCCCTTGGTGGCGATAGTCGACTGCGGCTCATGAATGGGGCGTGAACAGGGGCTCTCCATGCATGGGCTACGCAACGATCAGTGCCTCGGAGAACGTTGGGGTAGGGACTCGTGCTCAAACGCTGCACTTACGGGAATAGCCAAACTCTAGTAAGACCTGCAGAACTCGGCCCGTGCTCTGTGTTTTGCTAAACCCAGCGCGTGATTACTATGAAAAATGACTGGCGTTTTGCGTGAACGCGACTGTAACGCAATCACAGGTGCCTCGCTTTTTCCAGTTGTACTAAATCATGGTCGTCAAATCTTGATTCGATGCTCATATGGGCGCGTGGCAAGTGTACGCAGACATTAGCGGCATATGCAGAGTCGGCACTAGATCTTTTGGCCGCTTGTTCTGACTGCAAGCTGACGGTGGTGAACGCGGCTCGTTTTCCCTCTGTTTTCGGTGGCTGTGAAAACACTAATGTCTGTTACGTAAGTTATGAACGTCAATGATTAATTCTAAGCGGCATTTACGGAAAGTAGCAAAAATAGTACCAAAACTGTTCATCGCCTAGTGCACATTCAGACCTTTCCCCGGACAGGTCCCCTGCTTTGAACTTACGCACAGCCTGAAAAGTTTTTTTTTTTTTTTTTAATTTTTTTATTGGTGTTTTGGAGTGCTTGTATCCTGCTCGCCGAATGGTTCCCATGATGTCAGGTGGTCGCGACGCTGGTGGTGTTTCCACGGAAGTTCGCGTTGCTTACCAGTACAGTTGACTTTCGAGTCACGTGCTTCGATTTGCCAACACGATCGCCCCTTCAACGCACGACAGTTATAAAAAGTAAAATATAGGCAGTCGGGAACGAGTTTCTCGGGGGTTATAGCATTGACGCAACACTCCACGGGAAAGCTGCGACCCCCCAATACTTACAATCAAGCAACCCTTAATGGATGTTCACTCCATATTTTCAAAAAGGTCACTCGAGAAAGATTCCGCAAATATCATGTTGGGAAGTAGTTACACTGGAAAATAGTGCATCCGTCAATTAAAGCAGCATTTGTTATATGCCTGGCATCTAACCATATCTGGTATCCAACCAGGAACGAAAGTCGACGGACCGACGGCGAGCCGAACGCTCATCCAGGGTTCGCGTCCCGTCTGCCAGCCGAACCTCTTCCAACCCGGGTGCCTCCGTGTTACTATACTCCCGGCCAGGGGAAAACATCCCTCGGTCAGAGAGACAGCGGCACTCTACTACTCCGTGTAACAAGCGCTTTCCAAACTCAACACACACACAAAAAGAAAAAAAAAAAAAAGATTTGATGACATTTATGCATTTCTTATGAGTTGTGAATGCGAAAGCATGAATGTCGAGTTGAACGCCACTGAGTGCTCCTTCGAGTTTTGCGGTGCAAATTTTGAGGCGCTGCCATGTTCGCCGGCGATAAAAAAAAAAAACCCTCCCAACCTTTTTTTTTTTTTTTTTTCGGGGCCTCCGGCGAGGGCCGCAGCGCCATGGGGAGGGCTTCTCTGTGGGATGGCGTTCCTTGAAACTTTGACGCGCGCCAGCCCATGGGAAGTTGTCCATCGATTCGCTGCTGCAAACGGCAGGCTCCGCTCCATCGGACAGGGGAATTTGGCGCAAACCTCAAAAGCTGATGACGCCGGTTCGCT